ATATATATATACAGAGTGATTTAGAATAAACATTTGTTCTTAAAGTATCATATTCCTGACTTAATTCTAAGATTTTTTTTGCAAAAACTTTGTCTGAAGTTTAATTTTCAAATTACAAGAAGAAATAGCATATCACGGGCCATGTAGAAAAGACGGGCAGGAGCGGCGCTCACGATTAAGGACATTCTACAATGCGTTGCAAACAACTATTATCAGTTGAAATGTTTATCGCGACAACCAATCAGAAGCATAAATAATACCATTAACACTTTTAATTGATTGTCGCGACAAACGTTTCAATTGACAACACGTTTATAAAAACACGTTTCTTCTTATTTTTTCTCTCTACTATACTAATTTTGTCTTTCACATATTTTATCTCTTTGTCTTTCACATATTTTAAATATGCTAATTTTGTTAAATTATAAATTAGAATTAGATGAAATTAAAATGAATATTGAACCCTTTGAGTATCGAATTGTTTTTTAATTACATTGATAAAATTGTTAAAGAAATGTAGTAAAAGAGGGAAATTAGACAATAATTACGTATAATAAGCACATAATTAAAATTATTATTGATATAGAAATCAAATTATTTCATTATGTTGAATTCTAAGAGCGTTTCTTACAATTCGATGTACAGAAAATTTAGACTTAATTATATGTCAAGGCGTTACAATAGGCGTTACAATACTTGTACGCAATTATTGTCTAATTTTTCACTTTTACAAAAATTTCTCTAACAATTTTATCTGCGCTGTCGCGCTTATTTATTAGCGTTTATTACATATTTATGAAAAGTCTTATGAGAAACGCGATTGCATTTCTTAGCAAAGAGTGAATATTTGAACAAAAACGTAAGCCAAATACACTTTAAAAGCTTATTATTATCTTAATTATAAAATTGTTATTATCTTGTAGATGTTCAATGATTCCATTTTGTTCTAGTTTCTTGAAACAGTCGGAGGAATAAATTTGGATACACAGTAATAAGTGCTCGGCTTGTAATTCACTTTTTTCACTCAAATATTAAATGTCTTTTAAATACGTAGATATCAAATCACACGTTCTCACAATGAGATTCTTCTTTTATAAATTGTCACGTTTCAACATGTTGACACTTCAATTGCACTTACTTGATAAAACAAGGAATTTATTAACCGATTTATTAATTAATCACAAAGGACAATCACAAAGGATTGATTATTCGATAATTGAAAATCATCAAAGAAAGAAACACGTTTATAAGTCCATGTACAGCACAACGTGTTTATGTACGGCAAACAGCTGACTGACTTTCTTTGTTATGGGTACAGTGAGTGCAGTTCACGACGCTGCTTGAACTGCACTTATTGTATAAAAGTATCTTGAAGTTTAATGAATTTTAAGAATGAATCGTAATATACTCCATCGATCTCCAACATACTTTGTGCAGATTCCGCCGTGGCTTCGCTCAATTTTTCTTCTGGTGTCCGTGGGTGCGTGTGACGTCGGAGCCGTCTCTGTCGCGTTCGGAGGCCGTGACGTCCAGATACAGCTGCACCGGTAGCCCGGACATGCACACCAGAATATCGCGGAATGGTACGTGCACCTTCTCGGAGCACACTTGCACCACCGGCTCCACAACGCCTAGGAGCGAGTCAGAGTCTCATTTCGACGACACTGACCTAGCCCAAGGGAACGCGCGAACATCAGCTATAGATTTACGTCACTTGGTCCCCGACGTTCTCGCGGACGTCGATCATGACAACGTTGTCATGGCCAGGAATTGCACCTCGCTCTGATCATTGTTCTGATTCCGAGCAAAGCTTATATCTTGCCTCCAAACACTCGAGTACATACTTGATTTAATGGAATCGAAGATACCGGCTCGTGATCTTTCCCTCGTTCGCAACGCATGTTAAATTATATATACATATATATATATATCTATATATATATATATATATATATATATATATATATATGTATATATAATTTAACATATATATATATATTTAACAGAACATAATACGGACGTAAAATCGTCATTCAACATAAAAATTGTTTGCATATAGGAAAATTCGATACCAGTGAGAATCAAATATATTTAGCGTTAAATGTGTAATGCAGATACGAGCCGTTCGCTTCGCATCCCGTGGTTCGTATCGATCACAATACAGCAATTCTGACGGGAAGTAATAAACACGAAACAAACGTGGAAAATGAACTATGATTGCATGTTTGTTATTTGTTAACTTGCGGGAAACTATTCTTTATAAAATCAAGAATTAAACCTTTAATTTGGAATTTAAAAGAATAAATCCTATTAACAAATACAAAATCTCAGAATTTCCATAATTAATTTACTGCTGAAAGGATTAATTCTTGATAACAAAATATGTATATATTAAGATAAAAATAATTAGTATAGTGATTTTAGCGCGTTTTCTATAGCATTTTAATTGAGTAGATGTTTTGTTGTTCCATTATTGTTATAAATATTAATATCGTCTTTTCTAATTATATTCTCATAAAAGTCCATTAAATTTTTATTTTTCGCACAGTATTTCCTTCCATTGAGCTTCAATTAAGTACACATATATCTGTGAACTTTAGTTTTGTTGTAAAGTTAAGTTTTTACATATGTTGATTTAGAATAATGCACGCAATAAAAAGTAACATTAATTTTGTTAGAGCTTCGTTGATTTTTGATACATAACGACGAATTCAATAATTCGCACGAATTATACGTACGCATACATTAAATTCAACGGCACGGAACGGCGCTGTTAATCACCATAGTATAATTGGATATAGCACGATACGTAACAATCGATGTATCGATGCAAACAAGCTCTATTTCTAATTCGATAGGCACGGTGCGAATACCACTGCACCTGCAATCAGTGAGAGGAAATGACCGGCTATTGGCTCATCATCGCGATCATGGCAAAAAATGGAGGGCTTCGCAGACCAGAGGACATGTGTCCTGACAAGAGGAAGAAAACTCTCAGCAACAACGAGTACATACCTGGATATGAAAATAATATCTAATTTTCCTTTAATGCTGGCGCTCTTTCTATCAACCAACGACGCAATCAGCTCAATTGCACCTGCGTTTTGCAGCATCCTGGGAAAGAGCGATTTTTTTCCCTCTGTCAAGCTAGTCCTTGTATAACACTTAGACCAAAATGCAATTATTTTGTTTCAAGAACTTTAATCGAGTTTCTCTCTCTAGTCACATACGACATTTTTTAGTCACGAAGAGATATCTATGTTATTACATTATATGTAACTTAAAAAAGTAAAGTCAGAAACACATTGAAAAATGTAAGATAGTGCAAAGAAGTAGTAAACAATTCGGTCAATCACAGCAGAGAACGTGACATCATTGCCTTACATTCACTATTGTGAATTCACTATTGACCAATTCACTTACTGCTTATGTTTTACTGCCTCATATTTTTCTGTGTGTTTCTGGTTTTATTATGTTGACTATCACTATCTATATAAATTATCTTTATCGGCGTACCATTCATAGTCTTTTAAAAAAATCAACGGACCAAAATATTGTATTTACTGCAATTTCTTCGTAGTGTTAATACATGATGTTTTTAAGAAAATGAACGCATTAAGAGTCGCGATTATTTGGTGTTAGAAAAATGTTTAAAACTAAGGAATAATGATATAACGCATAATCGCGTAATTGTCGTGTTCCTATTGTATATAAGAATTATTTCAAAGAGAAAACTGAAAAATTCAAGACTAAAGGTTCTTGTTTAAAGGTAAGATATTTCTTCAATCAAATAAGCTTAAGAATTAAAAAATAAAATTTATGCATAATTTAAACTAAGTAAAATAAAAATTATAAAATTTCATATATAAAATTATATATCCTCACAGTCAACTGCAAGCTTTTTGTTGATAAATTAATGATTGTAAATTATGTGAATACATTAAACGCGTACTAGATGTGGTTGTGAATTCGTAGATAATCTGTAATAAGTCCAAATTTATCGCTATGTTATTTCTTACTTGCGAAAATCTAAATTTCAATCGCTTCATTTCTTATGAAATAAACTTAATAATAATACATAATTTTATATTCAAAACTTAATATCGTAAAATAAGTAGTAGGTCTCAACTTTTTAATACATATAAAGATAAAATCCAATTATGTTTTTATATTAAATAATTATAGGTTTTTTCTCTCATGTCTATTATTGTGCATGATATTTTAAAAGAGATTCATTTTAATGTACTTTTTTTTTCATCCTATTTATTCAATAAATTTTAAAGGAAGCAAAACAACGTTGATAAACTCAAAATGTACGTGTAATATCTTTATAACTCATGTTCCTTTTAAATTTTCAAATGTTGTCGGAGCAAGAAATACTCTGGGAAAACAAACGCTTTTTAAGATACGATTTAGGTGTACATAATACACGTCATATATTAACGTAATTTTTAATAAAAGTATATAATTAGGGAAATACACAGAGTCGTGATTATTTATGAATAAGAGGACAACTAATGCAGCTGAAAAAAAACCCAGAAAATCCATTTGAGTACCAGAAAACACACTTCAATTCTTTGAATGGTCCAAAACAGTTCTGTACATTAATGACGCACACAAAATAATAAACAGAATATCTACGATACCGAGAAATTTTTCATACCATAACTGTGTTGTGATATTTATAACTTGCTTTTTATATCAGCCGTTCTAACTATTGGAATTTCTACCTAGATAAAACTCGTTTTAAACAAAAAAAAAATAAATGAGCAAAAATTTTATTTAAAATTTTTCTCACAAATGTAAACTCCATCGCAATTAGAGAGAAAAAAATAAAGAGCGAAAACTTTACAAACTGATACATTATTCACATATTTATAAAAGATTTAAAATAAAAGATTTAAAATAATTAGAGAATTATTTCTTCTTGTTAACGAAAGTTAACGCAAAGCACATAATAAAAGAATTATAGCTGCAATGTATATACGTTAATAAAATATATATTTATTATCATATCAGAGATCACTAAAAAAATGTAAAAACTACGTGATAAAATGTAACTGAACGATATTCAATGCTGCGTTAGTAAGATAGCGACTGAATGTAACGCAAGGAATTGTAAATTCAACAGAATCATGCAAAATGCGGTTTATACAAATGAAATACTTATTCTATTCGTTCATTCGGTACTATATAATTCCGTGTACCTGTGACCGTATATCTGATAATCTACTATGATTGTATTCTGAAAAATGCGTAAATAAAATATCCTATTTTTTATGTAGCTGTTACGTTTTAAGTTAATGTCACGAAAAATCGCTTGTATATTGAGAGAAAAACTGAGGTACAAACAATTTCTATTGTTAAAGTAAATTCTATTACTAGAGGTATTATATGTCATATAAATAGATATACATGAAAAGAAGGATTTCTGAAAGATTTGAATAAATATTTGCTGGATACGGATTTGAAAATAATTTTATTGCACCATCAAAATAATTATGTTAGAAATTGAAAAATGATGAGCAATGCTGCAATTTTGATATTTCTAGTAACCAGTCTGAGTTTCCAACAAAATTATTTTGATGAACCAACAAAATTATTTTCAAATTGTAAATCTTTCAGGAAAATTATTCTTTTCGTGAATGTTTATCGTTTTTGAATACATTCAAGGAAAAGATAAAATATTTTTTTCAGTTTATCTGATCATCAAAGAACGAACGTGATCAAGATATTTACAAAAAAATAATTATTACTATTTTGTAAATCAAGAGTAGATTGTACTCTAAAATTTATAATTTTATCTATAAAGAAAAATATAAATGTGATAAGAGAAACAGCTAACTTTAAAAACAACACTAATAACATTAATTAAAATGATCGGAAGTTTACTTTCATATATGTGTGTGTGTATGTGTGTGTGTGTGTGTGTGTGTGTGTGTGTGTGTGTGTGTGTGTGTGTGTGTGTGTGTGTGCGCGTGCGTGTGCGTGTGCGTGCGTGCGTGTGCGTGCGTGCGTGTGCGTGTGTGTGTATATATGGTATGAATAAGCACGCTTTAATTTTAATGTACGCACAGTGCATTTATTTCAATCAATATAAATATTAATTCATATGCGTCATACACCAATCAATATTTCCTCGGCAAAAAACTTAAGCGTATTTTGCCCTTATTTTTATTAATTTTATCCCAAGCCATGCAATGAAATGTCCTTACGTCCATTTTCTCTATGTACAGCTTTCCCTGAGAAATAAAAATAAATTACTTTCTACGTAACTAATTTATTCTTATTCTACGTATTCGTAGTACTAGAATATTCTTCTTTCTGACGACTCTTACTTGTAAATGATCGTATTCATGTTGTGCTATTCTAGCAGACCATCCACATGCTCTCCACGTAAACTGTTCAGCAGAAGCGTTCAATGCCTTAATTTCCACTTCGTAAGCTCTCGGCACAGCAGCAGAATATCCTCGAATACTTTCACATCCCTCGTAAAGGGTAATGGGTGTATAATCTATAATTTTTAATTCAGGATTGATAAAAATCGTCATCGGGATGATGTTCATTTCGTGAGTTTTTCTAACAGATTTCTCGACTCCTTCCATAATCTCCTCCGTGCATTCGATGGCAAATATTTGCCAAGGAAGTCCGATTTGAGGCCCAGACAGACCGTACGACTTATATGCTCGCATAACGTTTATTAAATGTGTGATTACCTGAATAATGAATAACAATCAGTAATGCAATTCTATATTTTTATGTTAAATAGTAAAATTTTTAATTTAGAATAGTAGTGACTACCTACAACATAATAAAAAAGAATTACATGATAAAACTAATTTTAAAATTCATCATAAAAAGAATAGGATATAATGATTTAGGATAAAAATGATTTTTGCATTGTTTTTTAAAAAATAATTTAAATTTTATTTTATAATTACATTAAAGAAAGATAATTATCGAACATAACATATTTTAATATTTATCTTTTTTTTTAATTTCCATATCTCACATAAAATTAATGTATTTGCATGCAGATAACAACTTCATAATCTTTGCGATTAATCATAAAATTGTCTTTAGAAATTATAGATTTTTTTCTTGTACGTTTGTTACGGATTTTCTTGCTTATTTTGACATTTTTTTAAAATATCAAATAATTTGTGTTATAATTTAAATGCAGAATTTTTTCTTGCAAAGTTAAAGTATTTTTCCTTAGAGCAAATCACTAATTTACAAATATCTCTTCTGTATTAAATTTTAAAAAAACTTTAATAACAAAGAGTGAAGCAGAATATGGATTTGTCCTCATGCTAAATTAGACTTGTTATACATCAATTATTAGATCTACGAAAGAAATATTTTCGTCAAGCTTTAATCTCTTATCTTCCAATGTGAGAATACTAATTAAAAAATATCTTTTCATTATAATTTTTTTCTCTTTTTCTAATTCATGAAAAATTGTGCAAAAAATTAGTGATGTTCTAGTCATCAAGAAAAATTCTTGGAAATTTTTAAAGATTTTTAAAATACAAATTGAAATTTTTAAAATTCAAGAAGTTTGCGCAAAAATTAGACTAGTCATTAAAATTGTAATATTATATTGCAATAATGATAACAATTAAAAATCTGCATATAAGATATTAGAATAATAACTTCTTATAATATTGTTTATAATGAGAAAATCAGTTATAAGAAAGAAAATCTTGATTTAATTTTTATTTTTAATGTTAGTACATCTTTCCAAAAATCTAAAAAAAGATAAATATAACATTGAGAAAATGACTGTATGACTGTAAAAATATAATGTTACTCACTTAATAAAGTAATCAAAACTTCACTGAAATAAAATAATTTTAAACTTCTTAGATTAATAACATGATATTAATTTCATTTTTTATGTAGAGATAAAATACATATATTTAGTGTACCTAGAACATGTGCAGGCAAGAACAGCACTACAAGATTACAGAAAAAATAAAAGTAACGCCGTTTTTTCTAAGAAGCTTAAAATT